TCTTTCTATGCTGATGTACATTTGAGTGTCATCTTAGAGAGAATTCCTAAAATATTAAAAGTCAAACATGTTCCTGGCATACTCGGCAGAAATGCTAGTAAAACATGACAACTAAGCCACTCCATCTGCTGAGAAAGGCAATGAGATGTGGCTCAAAGGTTTATCAAGTAAGAGGATCTTTGTGCTGAGATTTTTTTTTATGTCGAACGAATGGGCTAGTATACTCCCGGCACTTGCCAAGAAACGAAACTGTTTCTCTGATTAATTATGTTTTGTTCTGATAAATAATATCGAAAATACTACTGTGGGGAAATACAAACACCTTCTGACAGGCACATCAAAGGCTTTCGTGGGAATTTTGACTCTTAACTCCAAAAAATGTGGCGGTATGTTCGGGGATTTTACGCGAAGGCGGAAGTAGGCAGGGGTGAATAATTTCAATTTACGACGTAGAACAGGAAGTCGACTCGCCACACCCATTGAACAGATCATTACATGATCATACACGTAACTGTGTCAGACTGCCCCGTTATAACACATCTCTTAGGAAGCCAGTTTTGAAACCTGCCTCTAAATTATACAGAATAATTTAAAGCGAATTGTGCGATATTTTTTAGTGATTTACACTCAGGCTCCTAACGCGCTACCCTAAGGGTCTTTCCTCGCACAGCAACAGCACGACCCTGAATGTGAAAACGTGTCAAACTCAAAGTATTTTAAAAGTGACACCGCTGTGTATTATTAACGTGATACCTTGTGTCACTTTACATTATAACTTCCCTGTTCAAACTTTGGGAACATGCTTTTACCCTGATTGGCTGTTAAACAGACGCGTGCAAAATGAGCTCTGGTAAGTATCACAAAATTTTGTAATGCACAACACATCACGTGATCCGATCACAGCCAATATTAGGTTTGTTTGTGTTATTTGTGTTATTTGTATTGGGACTTTGAACTCCTTATTGATTATAAAAAGTAGCATCTGCAGGAGAAAAGGCAACAGCAAGTTCTTCTAGAAGCACTTTTCCTTCAGTGACAATAACAGCCTGTAAAGCAAATAAATTGTGCATCATGCAATAAGTAATATACTGCATACTTCCTTTTAGTCAGATATCGGTTGATATTTAGTAGTATTATAAGTTTATACATATTTAGAGCTGAAAACAGTAGTCAAATCAACTGAAATTAATCAGCAACTATCATTCTTATACATATTACCCACTTCTAAACATAGAATTGTTAGTGCCACGCTGTATGTGTTTTAACCACACAGGAGCGATGCTCTGTCACTGTTTTTTCCCCACAGAGGTGTGCCCGTTCTGTGGGAAAACCTACAAAAGGTTGAAGAGTCACCTGCCACATTGCAAGGCAGCAGCAACCTCCAAAACACCTCCAACCAAACACAATGCCACGGTGAACCACACAACATCATCTTCTCAGCTGGCTGCAGCCTCGTCGACGCCACCAGCAAAGGGGGAAAAGTCCACACAGATGCTGTCAGTGAATGCAAGTCCACAAGTAAGGAAGAGTAAGAAGGTGTCTGTGATATCACCAGCAACATCTTTGTCGGAATCATTGTCCCCGAGTTCTGCATCACTTCCACCATCAACTAAGAAGAAGAAACAGAAGCTGTCTGAACAAATAAAAACAGTCACTATGCCCTCTTCTAACACAGTTTCCCTCATCTCCTCCCCATCACCGTCTTCCACCATCTCTGAGCCCAAAAAGAAGAGTCTCCGTGCTTTGATAGAAGCTGCGAAGTCCAAAGAGGTTTCTAAGGGATTGCTGGAGGGAACCAGATCTGCCCCAGAGGACCTGCCTTCAGGTTCAACTCCATTTGTGGCAGATCCTCTAAGCTCCAGAGCCACAGCTCAGACAGAGACCAAAACCACTCCCGACAAAGACTTAGACACCAAACCCAAAGGAGCATCTCAAATGAAGGCATCAAAGACGAAGAAGGCAGCACAATCCCATTCCACAAGCAAATATACCTCTAGCTCTCTGGAATCTAAAGTAAATGAAACTAGTGCAAGACCCATTGTAAGAGACAACTTCTGGGTGGACACCGAGGGGGAAATTGAGGATTTATCTGTGAATAAGATGCACTTGAAATCAGGAAGTGGTCACCAGGCCAGGATTACCCTCCAGGATGTTAAAGCCACATTAGGCCGAGCCAACGCCACGCGTCAGTCCTGGAGGAAAATCCTGAGCCAGATTGAAACTACTGATCTAAGCAGCAAAATCAAACCTCCACTCCCACCGGCGAATCAAGAACATGTTGATAGCTGCTTGGTAAAAACTAAAACACTCTCAGACCAGCTGCCCAGCACCAGTTTACAACATACAAGGCTGCACTCAGTTGAAAGAAAAAGCTCAAAGTCTAAACAAGCAACTTCAATTCCCGGTCAACATGATGGTTCCCCTCAGCATGAATTAGCGTCCCCTGCGACTCCCCTCCTTAATGGCCATTTGTCGTCTCAGGTGAGCCAAGCCACATACCTTCCGCATACAGTCGGCGTGAATGAGGGGCTGAACGTGGGCCATCACATGACAGGACTCTGCACAATATCACCATCACTCGCCCAGTTTTCTAGACCGCATTGTTTCCCTCTAGCACCACAAACTCTGCCGGCGAGGGTAGAGACACAAAGAGTTGCCGATGGGTTGACAATGCAGATGTCGCAGCTCGAGGTCCGGAAACAAAACACTGCTGATAATGGAACCAAAGGTCAGTATTTGACAGGGCTGGGCTATCAGTCCTCAAAAAGTTTGTCTGAAAAGTACCAAAAGCTGGTCAGACTAGTACTCATACTTATTCTTTGCTTTTGGTTTCTAATTCAACTGGCAATTTTGCTAACTATAGACCTTTACAAGTTCTTCTTCACCTGATTGTGTCTAGACAACAAGAAAATTACTTCTTTAGTTAGATATAAAAAAGGGTTTTGTAGAAAAACATCTGTATTTGTCAACAGTGTGGTACTGAAAAAGCTTTGTTTTGGGATCAGTAGTGAAACTCACATCAGATCGGCACTAGTATCGAAAAAATACCATACCAAGCCCTAGTGAAATGGAAGTGGATGTGTTTTCAGTTTGTCTTTACTTGTATCAGTGCATTCATTCTTTATGGGTGGCATGAATTGTAGGTGCTCTGACACAGCAGAGTCTTGGACAGGTGAGACTGAAGGAGTTGCCAAGGTGGTTGGCCTGCAAAAGTCCCAGCCATCCAAGAGAAGTCGTGGAAATGGTGCAAAGCGGTGAATATCACACACATATATCCCACAAATATATGTATTCCTCTCAAAAAACAACCAATAAGGCCACTGCTTTTTTCTGTTTGATTATTATGCTTTTAAAGCAATCGTCCAATATTTTGGGAAAGGAGAGTTGAGACGAGCAGGTCGATACAACTCTTGTGTCTGTCTGTTAAATATGAAGCCACAACCAGCAGCTGATTAGCTTATCTTAGCATAAAGACTGGAAATGGGGCAAAGAGCTAGCCTGGCTAAGTTAACAAAATCCACCTGCCAGCACCTCTAAAGCTCACACATACACATATTATATCTTGTTTGTTTAATCCATATAAAAACAAAATATAAAAATTACAATTTGTGATCTTGGTGAAAGTGAAAGCTCCAGCAAACCCTCAAGGATGTCACTGCTTCCAGGCAAGAAATAATCTGGCATGTAACTCCCTGTAATACCGCAGCATTTCTTTTTTACACATAGGTTTTTGTACGGATTTAACAAACGACATATAAAGTGTTAATGAGTGAGCTTTAGAGGTTCTGGTAGCTGGAATATAAGATGTATATAGAGTATGGACAGAGCTAGGCTACCAGTCTTTGTGTTAAGCTAACTGGCTGCTGGCTGTAACTTAATAGACATGAGAATGGTATCAATATTCTCCTCTAACTCTCAGCATGTTGAGCATGATGTTTCACATGTACGTTTTTTCTCTCAGGCTGGCAGTGGTATTACAAGAAGTATATTGATGTGAAGAAAGGTGGTGTAGGTGGACTGGGCATGTTGTTGGCCGGATACTGTGTGCTCAGCTACATCTGGAGTTACCCTCATATAAGTAAGTGTGTGAATTAGTCTCAGTATTGCTTTATGTAATGCGCTACATAAATGTAGAGGTAACTGGGCATGGCTGTTTTTTTCCCCAGAGCGTGATCGCTGGAGGAAGTACCACTAAGGCAAAGGAAGAATGTTGAGTGAAGAAACAGCAGCTTTGGGAGAGCAGGTTCAGGACTTTTAGGGAGTCCATTCTGTCAGTGACATATAATTAATCCAAATCCAAACATTTCCACAGGATTTATGTTTGATTAATGAAATTTGTAGTGGTTTCTTGTCACTATAATAGCTCTCCCTGTCTACAGGATTGGTGATCAAATAAGTCAACAATTCAAAGCAAAAGGGCAACATTTTGAAAATTAAAAGCTTTAAAGTTAGAGAGAAGGTCCATACAACTCTCTTGTGTGTCCATTAAATATGAAGCTAAAGTCAGCTGGTTAGCTTAGTATAGCATAAATACTAGAAATGGGGAGGTGGCTAGCCTGGCTCTGTCAAATGGTGACAAAATACACCTACGAGCACCTTTAAAGCTCCCTAATTACCATCTTTTATCTTGTTTGTTTAATCTGCACAAAGACTGAGGTGAAAAAAATTACAATTTTCCTTTTACTGTGACCAAGCTAAGTTAAATGGCTGCTGTCTGTAGCCTACTATTTAATGGGCACATGTAACTGTTGTGTAGAGTATGGTTTCGATCATCTCATTTAACTCTTCGCCATAAATTAAAAAAGCCAAATTTCCAAAATGTCAAACTACACTGCTTTAACAACTGGAAGACTTGTGATTCTGACACCAGTATTTTCATTCTCGACTGATTTGCACCTGCACAGGACATCGTCTGTGGGCATGTCACTATGGTTTGTAGGAATTGTCTGTTTCGTTTCTAATTATTTATTTGCTCTATTTAATCTGTTTATATTATTTGGTTTGCTTTGTATCTACTACTAAAATATTTTTTTTGTTTTGATCTTAAGAGACCATGTGCTATAGTCTTGCTGTGTCCCAGGGGCTCCGCTAGGTGTCATTGTTGAGTTGTGTTACCAAAAGCAGAGTGGATGGCCAGTCAAATGTTTGCTATGCAGAGTTTTCTTAGCTCCTTTGTGCAGAGGCAATGGTGCTGGGGTCCATGAGAGGATTAAAGGGAACCAACAGATTTTTATCTTGATAAAATGATCTTATTCTGGCAGCCCAGAAACAAGAGAGAAACATGAAATTCAAAATGTCCTGACATCAGTATGCGTGGAAAGATCATATCTGTGCAGCAAAGGGTGACAAATCTGTTTTTCTTTTGCAAAAGCTTCCACTGCCACGTGATGTTATTATGCATGCTTAGTGTGTCAGTGCCAGTATGTGAACACTCACAGAATAGTAATAGGGGGACGGTGAAGAGGTTCTCAGCTGGACTGGACCAGTTTTGTTATTGTATTCAAAATGAATTTATTGTTGACTCTCTTTTGATGCTGTAGTGAACACTGATTAGCTATAAATGAAGAAATGACAGTATTTTTGTAATGATTTTTCCTGACGCCGCTTCTTAGCCAATACAATAAAAAATAATTTCCATTTTCTCATGTTTGTTTTTGTTTTTTTACATTCTTCTTTTGTTCTCTCCATACAAAAATTATAAATATTTTGTGTTTCACTTTTCATTTTTATACAAAACAACAAACTATACAAATCAAGTCAGACAAAACAACAGTGAAAATGGAGGCAGAAAAACACATCTCTGCACTGAAAATGGGAGAAAAAGCACAGTATGTTCCTACCAGGCTCTTAGACACTGATATGCATCAAGATAACACAATGTTTAACCAAAATTGGACACGTCCCTACTTTGTGCAAGTCTAAAACTAACTTTCTTGTGGATATAAGTGCTATAGAGGCACAAAGTCTCGCAGAAACCATTTGAAGGAGCAAATAACAAATTTCACTTGACCCTTACATGTCATAAGAGATTTGCTTTCAAAGCAGAGAGCCCAGTATTCTCAGTGTGCACTGGTAGATATAAGAGGTCTATAGGCAGAGATACAGGCAGGCAGGCTGCAATGGCCACTGGCACTCAAACACAAAATCTATCACCCCATATAAAAGGCCTTCTGTCTGCTCCTGTAGCCTATTGGCAAGCATTTTTCACAGACACATTTATAGGAGAAAGGTAACACTATCCAGAATCAACACCAGGAGCATTTAACACATTTAACCTAAGCTTTGGTCCTGTGATGGATTTGGCAGAAATAGCCCTCTCTTGCTTATACCGCGGTGCAAATTTCTGTAGATTTATTTTCAAAAAATGTCATTCCAAAAACATAAATGGAAGGATGAATTTAGGATTAATTCTTCATCGTGATGAAATATAACAGTAGATTAAGTTTTGGTTCTAAAAACTAAATAAAACAGAACCAGAGCACAGTGGGAGCCCAAGTCATTTTAAGGGCACAGTTTCAGAGGAAACACTACAGCTTTACACTATAGTCACAGAGCTGACAAAAAGATCTGACGGTGATTCTGGATGAGACCATACTCTCTCCTATTTTGAATTTTGGTTGCGCTGCTGAGAGGGAGAAGAGAGGAAATGTGAGAAATGCTTGACGCACTGGAAAGTGTGAAAAACATCTTGGTGGACTGAGCGAACACAAAGATTATGGCAATCAAACAAGCGAACTACATGAAAACATAAGTCATAGACCAGTGTTGTATGTATGCAGACTAACAAACACACTGAAAAGACATGTCAAGCATAGATAGATAGATATGATCAATATATCATTATACTGTATGCAGAAGGCAGACAAATATACGTACAATCAATGACCCTCCAGGGTCATTTAAACTAATGACGATATTGTCATGTTCACAAAGCTGGGGAACACGTCACAACAAACAAAAACAGTCAACTTTTTGAATGTCATTTCTAAAAAAAATTATAATAATAATAGGAAATAAAAATCAAAATAAAATAGATAAACATAATGTAACAGATCTTCCTCAATCTGAGGACTGAGCTCCCCTGACACAAACACAATGTGAAATGATTAAAGTGGTTGAGATCGAGATTTGTCTTGTGTCTGTGTCAGGGCTTGCATACCTTTAAGGTACAAAAGAAAAATGCCAAAGAAAGTGTGACTTAAGCATAAAGGGGAAAAAGAATTGCTGTGTACAGTAACACTACTCTATGTATGTCTGTGTGACTAGCTTGACTGGTTTTTAGTGCGATTAAGAGTTTATCCTTGTTGCAGGCAGCAGAAAGCAAGCTAATAGATTTTGGTTTAGGTCCAAATGTTCACATTCTGTTTAGCCTAGCATACACTGTCTATCAACCAGAGCCTCATATTTATATAGTTACTGAAATAAGCAACAGTATGTTTAGTGCAATTTGCAATTGAGAATGTGTCTCTACTGAGCTTACCTTAAAGGAAATCTACACCTCTGAACCATGAATCTACTTGACACACTGTACTAAAACATGTCTGCGTGCACTGTGCATGTTTGTAATGCAGGAAGGAAGGATGTCAATGAATATTTTTGACTAGAGTTTCTTCATGTAAACACTTCAAAATAAAAATCCTACAATTAGGCACAGAGTCGTCATTTTGTCCCTCCTCCTTCCTATTTATCACCATAGTGGGGGTAATCTACTGGCACAAAATATTAATGACGTATGTGTGTGTGCATGTGTGAAGAGAGGGACACTCCTATTCAAGCTACTTAAGTTGCAGACCCTACCTTTTTAAAATAATGTTAAAATAAACAAAACAAGAACATTTTCCATCCATTAATCCATTGCATTGCACACAATCCCGGATCTTTATAGGTAACTTGAAGTGCATGCGTTTTACCTGCCATGGAGTATCTGACTCCTACATCATGCCTCAAAAACCTAAATAATAAACCAAAAACAAGTAAATACATGCTACATGGCCGGAAATGGTAACGCAAAGATAATAGACCTGAAAGAAGAGTTAACCCCTCTCCACACAGGGCTGTGGGGGAATACAACAAATATTACAAAAGGAGAGTTTAACAAAACGTACACACACACACACACACACACACACACACACACTAAAGAAATTGAAATCATATGTTATTAGGGATGATGGAGTACCAATCTTAACATTCCAAGATGCTGTTGACTGCCGCCTCAAGAGCAGAGTCTGTGTCGGGGTGAGGGGGTGAGGTGAGTGGAGGGGGGTACTGGGGCTGGGGCTGGGGCTGGGGCTGGGGCTGGCGAGAGGACAGGTGGTGAGACACCTGGTAGTGCGTCTGTCCTCCTCCTGATGTTGCTGCAAAAGGTGAGGGGTTACCTTGGGGATAATTGTTGGCTGCGGTGAGGCTGTTGTTGCTGGCGCTGCTGGGACTGTAGTGTTGCTGGGATCTCTTCAGTTCCAGGACACTCTTGTTTTCTAACTGTGGAGGGTGAAGTCTCTCTGCTGCACCTGGTCCTACAGCCCCACCCCCTCCCGGGTCTCCATACCCGGGCTGGGAGTCTGTCCTGTACGGTGGCTCCGTAGAGCCTGTGTCCGACTGATTCCAACTACAGCTGGACAATGGCTGAGAGGGGAGGGGATCTTGGAAAAGTTTGGATTTCGTCCCACAACAGAAGTCTTCCAAGAAGCGGTCTATCAAACAGACAGAGAAGAGAGGAAGTGTTAATTAAACTTGTGAGTCTCTAAGAAAATAGCTTTACTCTTCTTTCTTTTCTTTTTTTTTTTACCTGGATCAACTAGTACCATGCGTTTGTCTTGTGTCAGATTGCTGCGCTCCTCTTGGTTGAAGGTCCTGTCAATCATCACCATTTCTGATGACGGACTGGAATGCTGCAGGCAAGGGAGAGGCAACCTGTCAGCTCCGTACGTGTCATAACATCAAACACATGTTATGTACGCAACCATTTGCTCATGTGTATGCCTACCTCTGCTTCCACCATTAGCAGCCGTCTGTATTTGTTTACCATGGCGTGGGTCCTCTTCAGCACCTGAGTTGCAACTACCTCAAATTCTTCATCCACTGTAAGCAAAAAGACAACTCAATTAAGATAAAAGGTAGTTAAAGACACGATTTTACTCTTGCAAATACGGAAATAAATATGTTTCTTCATTCAAGGCTGTACCCTGTGAGAACTCATCCCAGCTGGGTGGAGCTCCCTGGAACACGTGGTAGGGGAGGAGTCTCTGCAGTGCATCGTCGATTGAAGCGAATCGATGCCGATCAGGGGTCTGAACTCCAGCATGATCCTTCCTCAACTGTTGTAAAATCCTATAGAGATGGCGGGAAAAGAGAGACAAGCTCCTTCAATGGCTGACCGACACACAAGATGACGCTTGACAAATGAAAACAGTATCTAAATAACACCCAGTAGGTCAAAAAACTCACATTCCTCCTCTTGTAAGTGGCGGAAGGGCAGGTCTCTTCTGAGCACTGACCTATAAAGAGAAAGTGTACATACCAAAGTGGTCATAATACTTCCGATATCTTTTCTATCAGCATAATCTACCCTAAATCTACATACACCAATATGAGTGCAAAGCAAATGAGGTGCAGATTAAGCGAAATACCTGAGAGTTGAGCGTTGAATCTTGAGTCATGGTTGTCATGGCTAAGAGAGATTGTACAAACAATACAGCATCTTTAGTAGTTCAAAATGGGGCAGGCTTCATTTAAATACATCATTGACAAAAAAATGATCAGACTTTGTTACCATGGATGCTGCTGAGCTGAGACTGTCTGTCCTGTTTGAGGGCATCTAATGACGAATTCTGAAAAATCAAAATGAAATCATTGTCAGTCAGATAATGGTTCTTGGGAAAGAGACAAGCATGTAAGAGCAAAACAGGGTGGAAATGAATGAAACAGCACCAGACCACACCTGTCTGTAGTCTTGTTGTTCCTGTGTCACAGTACCAGGTAAAGGGGACAGAGAAGTGCAATTCTGAGACTGAGTCACTAGAAGACGCTGAACAGGTCCAGCCCCCACTTGGCCTTGACCGCCGATCCCCGCCGTCGCTGGGCCGACCAGAGTCAGCCGCCCAGGAGCGCACGATGTCTGCGCAGGGGCGGAGCTCGCACAGGAAACTCCTGTCCATGTTTGTGTTACACCCCCTCCAACCTGATTCCCACCCATTACTCCCTGATTCAAAATTAGCTGGCCTCCTGTTGATGCAGTGAAGTTCTGCCCCGCAACAATCTGCACCGCATTCTGACTGGTAATTAGGGCATTTGCGTTTGGGTCAGTTGGGCCATTGTGGATAGTGCTGGCCTGAGTGAGAGACAAAGAGCTGGGCAGCAAGAACGGTCCGGGTGATATATTTGTTTGGGCCTGTGCTTGTTGCTGCTCCAGGGGTGACTGCATTACAATGGAGCCATTGGCTGTGTAGTGTCCCCCAGGAGTAGCAGTGTTAGCGTTAACTACATTAGCCATTGTGGTGGGAGTGGGCTGAAGACCAAGGCTGTAGACAGTCTGAGCCCCAGCTTGAAGGGGTTTAGGCTGGATTGGTCTGACAAGAGTCTGGTTCCCTCCTGGGCCTCTCTGGATGATGATGTTTTGAAGGGGGATGTTTTTGAAAGGTAAGCCGACTTGGCCTACCTGCCCTTGAGTAGGGGCAAACACCTGCCCCCCTGCTGTGGTCCCTGCTGCTGCTACAGGCGCCCCCTGCCTCAGCACAATCTGAGGAGATCTCTCCAGGCTGCTCAGAGTCATCACACCACCACTGGCCCCGAACGAGCCCAACACCTGGATGTGCTGGGCGGAGCCATTAGGTAGCTGGGACACCCCTTGCAGGAACTGGCCTGCTGGGAACGCAGCTGTCGTCGTGGTCACCACACCCATTCCCCCTCCATAACCCCCAGAGACCAGCTGGGAGGGGAAGGGAACAGGAGCCTGCACTAGTGTGGGAGCCGGCTGGGAGTCTAGTAAGGCCTCCTGGGCCAATGTCTGCTCTGTGATGTCGGCCTCCATGAGAGACTTCTGTAGAATGTCGAAGGGCTGGTCCTCTCCCCCAAGATCCACCCCTCCAGGGGAGGTCTCCGGCCCCAATTCATCCTCGATAAAAGAAAGGCTGCTGGAGAGTTGGAGGCCTGCCCCTGCTGAATCATCACCGAAATCACCATCTTTGAGGCCAGTGTTGGAGCCAGTCTAAATCAAGCATTTAGAGAAAATGAGCAGAGAGCGGAAAACTGTTCGCATTTAAAATGAATACAAGGCAGCTTTCCCTGTTGGTCTGTCTCTTCCATCTGTGATGCTTTTCAGCACTTGCATAAGAAGGCAACTATTCCATGAACTTTTTAAGATATATATATAATTTTTATCATGCAGTTCCCCATTTTTGTCTCCTCGCAAAATAATAGTGTATTTTCCAACATTAGGACCAACTGGGTTCATATATTCACATATTTGTAAACTAACTTGGTGTTGAATAGATCATCTCCATATAAACTACTCAAATCTCACTAAAAGCCTGAGAAAACAAACTATGGTAAAACCCAAAAGATCATCAGTAACTAAATATCTAATCATAGACAAAAATCTGCTTTGTTTTTCATGGTAATCACAGGTACACTCACCGTGTTGCTGGCAAAGAAGGATCCATCCGACCCATAAGCTGCATTTGCTACATCATCCTCCTCAATCTGTAGAAACAAAATGGTTTAAAAGGAAATGGGTGGACTCAATTTCTGTTTGCATTACAGTGAAGTAACTATTATAGACAAACTTTGTAAGGAATGACGGTGAATACAGTCTGAAAGAGTCACTCACAGACTTGCTGTTGTTGCCATGAAGATAGTCATTTAATGCATCCACATCTCTGAAAATGATACAGAAGAGACTGATATGTTACATATATTTCTTTTCACTTATGTATGGTTTTACAATAAATCCCTTCTGAATGGGCCATTAGATTACCAAATTCAACAAAACAGGAAAAACAAAGTTAGAAGATACTTGTGGCTTCGATTTCAAAGAGGAAGTCTCGTAACGGTACCTTACTATTTAAGCAAAACTGTTGAAATGTGTGGCCACACTGAACTGCCTAGTGAAGACAAATGTCAGAGCATCCATTCATTAAGAAATGGGTATGTCTACAATGTAAATTCCATATTATAAAGAGGTTTTTACCCTAAAATATCCAGAAGATGGCGATCATCCTCATCATCCATGACACCTGAAAGAGTATGGAGGGATGTAGGGATAGAATGAAGCAGGTGAAAAGATGGTCTGGTATGAATAGATAATTAAGGTTTAGCATGGACCAATGGCTAATATCTTCCATTAATCATGATATTAAACCTCAACTGATCTCTTTATATTCTGAGGTAAAAGTATATGAGCTGTAAAGGTTTAACATGTGTATTATTATGTTAGTTAGTAAGGACTTCGCACTCACAGATTTCCAGCAGGAAGCATGGATTCAGTCATTGAACACCCTTTGTTTCCGGGGCTGCAGGGTGAGAAACTGCATTTAGTAAGATTACAAAATTGTACGTGTGTGAGCTACAGGGTGTGGTGGTGTTGAGAGAGTGAGGTAGATAAGATACAAATAAAGACATGGGTGAGTGAAATGGGGAGGGGGCAGATATGTTATGTTAGTCAGTGCAGTGGGAGATCTGTATATAAGTAAAGGGCAGATGTTTATCTGACACACACTCCCACCCCTTTGACACCCTGCTTTCACACATTGGTTGTCTTTTGAGTCAGCACAGAGTGTCAATGGGCATTTGACTGTAAATAACTCCACCCTGCTCCATTTATACCTTGAATGGTTATTTGAGTTTCTACATTGAAAGAGGTCTTGGCTTTATGTTGTGTCAGCCAGCACGAGTATCAATCTTGGTCCTTCATAATAACAGGGTAACTAGAGCAAACCCATGAGCACTCATTTGATACAGCGGAGTAATAGGTTATGGTGTGTTTGGATATATATCAAGTTGCTTTGTCTATTGTAATTGATGTGTTTAAACAATGTGGAGCACATGGTGAGAATATAAATCAAAATTCATTTGAGTCATTAATCATCTGTTGCACTTGGCAACATGGTCTTTTAATTATAGGTTGTTTTCTTTTACTGTTATACAGTCTATGGTTATAGTCAGGGAGAAATGCAGGCTGTGTTCCTGAGTGTGTGCAAAACGTTACAACTGCAATGCTACAAAATGGCTGTTACCATGACATAGGCTGTCTTTACGACTGAGCCACGTTCAGCCTCCATCTTTGGTTCAAGGGGAACAAAGAAAGACAGGGCTGCTGACCAAATTAGGTGGTTTGAATTGAGTGCAGTGTGACTTATAGATACCAATAAACCTGCCAAAGCAAGTTATGTTACAATTTATTTTTTTTTAAATACCCATACCAAACAAGACTAAAATGTCTCCTCAGAGGGGATAAGCTGCCAAAGCTAGTGTCAGTGAGGGTCCTTTGTCCTTCAAATGTTGACAGTGTTACAAAAAAAAGAAAGGAAACTATGTCGACCTTTCCAAACAAAACAAAAACCGAAGCCAAACGATTAACACAAGGACATTTTATTTCACAAAAAGCTCCAAATGTGGACTGTTTATGCAAAAATAAATAAACACCCTTCTCTCAATAAGCCAACAGAATCATAAAACCGCCTTGAACGCAAGTTATTTCCGTTTAGTAAACGTTTTTGCAGGACTAAACCACATACTCAACTAACATTAATTTAAACGTTACATTTAACGTTAAACAAACAGCTTAATGCCTTTAGTAACAAAAACGAGCCTTTGTAGTAGCTCAAACGCACTGAATTTTAAGACTTATCGCCAATTTTGATAGCGGTTGTCAAAAGAAAGCCACCCTTTTCGAAAAGTTTTAACAATTTGTGCAATTTAGTGCCCAGATTCATGGTCTCCGAAATCCGCCCTAGCATGCTTGCTTCGACGCGAACCAAGCTAACGTTAAGTCCCTGCTGTAGTCCTGCTTCTACTGGTACTGTAGGGTATCGCCGTTGGTTTAGTAAGCCAGCTAAAAAGGGTGCAGCTTGCAAGTTTTATTTCCAAAAATAGACTGAATCGACAGAATGATAATCGCATTCAAGCAGCACAAAAAACGCCCGTCGTCCAGCCCGTGGCTGGTCGTCGCTGACGTGATCTTTCTTTCTCTTTGGGAGGCTTTCATTTGTCCTCTATGTGGCTCATCTGCCAGCATGGAAAACGTCACATTTGTCTCGATATGTCGAACCGACGCGTTTCAATCAGGGGGTCCTGCACCAGCCCGTGTTCTGGTCGGGTAGATATCCGTACTAGACGCCCCGTAACATTTTAACGATAAACATCGGCCTGTTCTGGTTAGCTAGCCGCGGTGGCGACGACGCCTCTTTTGGAAACGGGCTGGAATCCGTCGAAAATGCCACAGGACCAGTGTCGAGCCGTACATATTAATCCCGATTAGCAAAACATAAAGACGACTCGAAGAGGCAAACCCTTTTACTCGTGTCTCACTCCTCTTGAAACCCAATATCTCCATTTGGCAACTTTTAATTTGCTCCCCCCTCCTTCTCCTCCTCCTCCTTCTCCCTCTCCCACTCATATATTTTTCTCACTGTCCCTGTTCTGTCTCGGATAGATTTTTCTCTCCGCTCAAACTCTCTTCCCTCCCTGAAGGAAGGGAGGAAGGAGGTTGTGTGTGTTTTTTCCTTGAAATTTTTATCACAAAATTATAATACACTCAAAGGGAAACTCACCGTCATGAAAAAGCAGTGCCTTGTCAACGGGGTTTCCTCGCCATCACCGCACGGGTTGTTGGGGTAGTGCACAGAACAAGGCAGCCCAAATCATCAGTCCACAACGGTCGCATACGACTGTTGAAAATTTGAATGGGAAATAAACAAACAACGACAAGTTATTAATGAACACACGTTTTTATATTATTATGAATTATAATTGCACGTTTCACTGCCCTCTCTACTGGCAGATAAATGTTATTAGACTTAATCATTACCAACGGTAGAGGGCGGGCCTCTTGATGTGTGTGCCACACCTTGACGTTGCTCAGGTATGATCATAGTTTTCCCTAGTTACCTATTAATCCACACATTTTATACGATATCATAATCAAAACTTAAAATTAATACAGGACTCAATTTGTTGTTGTGTTTGGCACATTTGGCTTAAATCCTACTCATTACATATTACATTTTTACATTGTGGCAAAGCTCTCTTTGCCTCTTTCTATGCCACTTCAGACTGTATATAAATACAAATATTATAAATAAATATATATATTAAAGGTGGCATTATGTAATACTGTAATATTTAGAAATATTTTACACGTACGAGGAATTTGCTACGGTGATTAGGGGGTTGACATAGACATAAACATACAGTTGACATAAATATATTTAAAATATAAGTATAGAATAAATTTTCGTAGTGAGTAAATGTAAAAGTTAATTAATCTTGTTCATTAATCTTTTTCATAAGTTATGAAGACAGGGTTAGAGGATTATTTTCATCTGATTTGGTTAATTTTGTTACTGTCTTAAAGTTACACATAATAGTCCAAAATTAGGAAAGAAGAAAAATAAAATAAATAAACAGCAGTTTTTTGTTTTATTTAATAGCATACTTTGGTGGATTAAAGGGTAGCTTACTAAAACCTAAATAGATTTTATGTTTTGTTTGATTTTTATTATTAATTTATTATTTATTTACAGTCATTACCCAGATTTTCTGCCATGACACTCCGATACAGTAGGTGGCGATTTTTAACTTTGTCCCGCGATAACGACGAAGAAGACAGTGTGACGTCACTTCTGCAACAACAACATGGATGCAACGACTGAAGTTAGCCAGGAAACTGGGTTCGCCGGCGAAAGCGGTGCCGCCAAGATACAAGAGCGACTTCAGAAACGGCACAAGACGAGGATAGAGGATGTCGAGCGGAGGAAGGAAGCTAAAGCGAGCCAGTCTGTCGCGGAGGAAAAGGGCGAGTATTTCTTCTGCACGTTCAACGCGGAGCGGGCGTCCATCGAGGACCTGCTGTCCAGCTGCTCCGGAGCTGACCGGGCCGTGTTGACCCAAAGGCTGGAGGAGGCGACGATCAAAACACTTCAGCTGCAGAAGTTTCTCAATGACAGCATGTTGTTTCTCACGCAGTACGACCTGAGACAAGCCCAAGCTGCTCTCCAGAAACTCCAAACCGTCCTCGCTCAGACCAGAGAAGAGGGCCTGCCCAAGAAGAGGTTTGCCTTTAAAGCTCGCACTAAAGCAGCAGATGAAGTTACTGTGCCAGTGTCAGAAACGCCTGATGCTGGCACACCTGCAGATGCTGGTAGCACCAACATTTCTGGAGCTGCAGCCTCTGAGCAGTGCGGCTTCTCCAACATGAATAATGTATACCTGACAAAGACAGCTGAGGAGATCCAGAAAGGAGACGTGCTCTTGACTCATCTGACCAACTGCAAGGTCCGTCTGTTCGGTTCCCCCAGCACACTGCACCTGAAACACATCGACAGCTGTGAGATCCTATGTGGGCCCGTGTCTAGTTCAGTATTCGTGGATCACTGCACAAACAGTACTCTGGCCTTCCCTTGTCAGCAGCTGCGGACCCACAACACCACCGACACACAGGTGTATGTGCACGTCACCAGCCGAGCCATCATAGAGGACTGTCATGGAGTTAGCTTCGCCCCATTCTCCTGGTCCTATCCCACCCTGGAGGAGGACTTCACTGTGTCTGGCCTAGACCGGGACCGAAACAACTGGAGCCAGGTGGATGACTTCAACTGGCTTGCTGCAGGAAGACCTTCACCTAACTGGACGGTCATTCCAGAAGCAGACAGGAAAACCAATTGGGACGCCTAGAATCAAAAGTTTTAAACCTTTTATTTAACATGCAACATGTCGATCAAACCAATATTATCTTGTGCATGTTATTTAACAAAGAGTTGATTTCATGAAGGTTTTCCTTTTAAGCCTGTGACCATGATGAGTTGTTTTTTGTTTGCTGCTATTTTTGGTAGATGTCCTCCACTGATTGTGTTGCACTCTGTACAGCTGGGAAAGGGGGTTTAAAGTGCACTAAGATATTAAGATAAAAAAAATTCATCTCTTTCATCAACCCAAATCACAATAGGACTGCTGGAGAAGAGCATCACATCTCAGCTGAGATGGTGCATTCACACTCTTGCCAAAATTAAACTCTGGCTTGGAGTATTGTTGGCCTGTGTTCTTCTGCTCACTGTTAGTGAACAATTTTAATTTATCTGACACCTGCTGTAAGCCTTCCTGAAGTGGTAGTGCATATGTAGCCATACTTACTCAATTAACTGCACACCTGAATGGTCTTTTAGTGACTGACCTACAAGTACTTTCACAAAGTAATAATGGTCATTTCCTGCTTCCTGTTACCAGATATCTGTAACAAAAAAACAGAAACCTATTGTGTAAAAAGTCTGCATCATTAAAAGGGCAAATAAACATTCATTCCATTATAATTTATCAGCTTTAACACACTCTACAGTGGGAAAAAAAATTAATTATAGTGCATTTAAGTAAATTGGCTTGGCTAAGATAAAGAGTCATGATCCAATGTCATGTGCCTTTACGCTGCTGGCAGCCGCCAACCCTGAATGGCCATAAAGTCTTCAGTGGTGTTCTGATGTTATGAGATGCAACTAAATCTGGTCTGCACTTTGTAAAAATGGAAAATTAAATGTAACTGCCATTAAAATGAGAATGAGATAAAGAGTCTTTCTGCTGAACAACATGGAGCTTTTGTTTCTTGCGTTTTCTATTGATGTTTTAACAACCCGGTCTCACTCCCATGTCGTCACATATGGACGCTTGGTCAAGAGCCATAATCGTCAGTTTGTGACGCACTAGGGATCCCTTTGACGTCATAGTTCGACGTATTGAGGGAAGCCCTGTTGTGTCAGTTTTTGATGGTAAAGGCAAGTATGATATTTAAGAGAAAAGACGAAGTAAGGAGGTGATTGGGGTGGATAGAGGGCCAGAACCCGGACCTTGAAGCAGGAGAACAGGGTTTGTGTCTCGTGCGAAACAAAACATTAAATATTTTTATTTAGGCGAGTGAGGTAAATTGACATTAACGTTAGTTAACTTAAGTCTTAATTGACATACATAGCTATTTTAACCCAAACCATGATCTTTTCCTAACCTTAACCAAGTAGTTTTGTTGCCTAAACCCAACCAAGTACTTTCTGGTGCCTAAACCTAACGAAACTGCAACGTTTCACGACTTTAATTATGCGCGTTTCAACATGGCAATGTATCGAAACGTTACGTTTTATCTTGAAAGTGTAACCGGATATTGCATATTTATTGTTGCTAAGCGTTGCTTACTTGACTGTGGATCCCTAAACGTCAATAATTGATGCAAAAGGGCTACCCAAGTCTTTAAAAAGCGACGACAAAGGGCCTTGACCATGCGTCAGACATTTGATGAGTAGGGAGTGAGACTGTGTTGGTTTTAAAGGCATACAAATATACCCAGCCCACTTAACAAAACAACACATATTAATATAAAGCAGATCCGGATTGGTTAACTTGTTAACACTTTACTATAACCCTCCCTATTTAGCATTTAATAAATGGTAATAACACACTGACATGTAGTTGTAAGCAGATATATCAGCCATAACATAATGACCACATGCTGCACGTAATGGCATGGATACCACTGTGTTGAGACACCTTTCTATCAGAATCAGCGTCAACTTTGTCAACAATTTTTTCTTCTAACATATCAACTATGAAGACACAATGTTCACTAATATATCCCACCCACTTATAGGTGCCATGGCAATGAGATCAATGATATTCACTTCCCCTGTAAGTGTTAATGTATTCTCGTCAACAACTGTAACTCCTCCTGTGGGCACCAATAAGTGGAGGATGCTGTAAACAAGACTGACAATATAGTAACAGATGTAATATTAAATATGCCTTCATAGGAGAAGTTATTTATTTCCTAAGTATTTCCTTATTTTTCATATAAATACAATATAGTGTGATATAAACATTTATTAAATGTTTATATACTGCTCATAAATACTAAAAGGGGGGACCTAAACAATAATTGGGATATACCTAAATATTTCAGGGTTTTGTCAAGCCATTCCATGAAAAATTTACACTTTTTTGCAATTAAAAGACAAAAACAGACTGAACAAAGCAAGACAGTTACATAACATTAAGAAAACATAAGACAATGCAGCAACAGTGACACAAAGTGGTTATAAACAGACGAGGAGGGGCTTCAAGTTGTTTTATGTTGTTAAGTATAGAAATACTGTGGGAAGGGTCGGTTCTAAATCATAGCATGTATATCTGGCAGGAACAACACCTATTCAACCCCAATGTTGTGGTAAACAACACTGCAAAGTTTTAAGGGAGTCAGATTAGAAGCCATTCAGGGAAATGTCTGGCTTTGCCAGCATAAGTATCTGGCTCATGTCTGTGCCAGACACAGTGTTGATTCTAACTGCCAAGATAGCAAGTGGCAATAAGATAATTGAGAGCACTTAAATGCATTTATATGCTTGCCAGATGAAGTTTTCTACATCTATCTAATTGTCATATTTATTTATGTGTGATTATGTTTTATCTATCCAAATGGTCTCAGTTTTTTTTTTATTTGTGTAGTTCTAAATTAATTTTTTGTTTGTGAGCCTGATAGCTCTTTTGTTTCTGTGAATGGTTTACTGGGGCTTGAGCAGCACAGCCTATTTGCTCCATTGTGAGCACATCCTGTTTGTGATGAACCTGCAGACCCCTGCCTGTGAATGGGTATGCTCCATTATTAACTCCACTTTCATGCCCATGGTCTTTGTGAGCCTTCAGCTGATGCCATTAGAGCTCCTGGTGTGTTCGATCAAGGCGACCATGACCACGTGAACACTCAAACCAATTACGGCCCCTGGCAGCGGCTTACAATCAGGCTCATCTTGTGTAGAGGGATTTCTGCAAATTGGATGAGGCTGCTTACTGGGGCTTAGCATGACGTACTGCAACTTTGAGTTTAATCACGAGGATCTTCGGCAATCCTCCACCTCTCCAGGAGAGCGGAACACCACGATTAGCCTCACCTGTGTGTTAAGGAAGAAAAAACGGCAAAAGTTGGGTAAAAATAAAGCCTTGTAAAATTTTAAGTTTCTGTCACAATGGGAGAGGAGATACCTTGGGAGAAATAACACTCCTGTGCTACTCCCGGGTCCTCCTGGGTTGTTCATCTTTGCTCTTCTGCTGTGGAATGGATTACAGGCTGAGCTGACTCTCCTGTCCTGTTGGACTAGCCAGAGGAGATCCAAGAGACAGGGAAACTGCAGGTTGGCGCATTCAAGAACATTTATCTGAACTAAGGGGCTATCTGCAAATCTTGGAGCTCCTGCTGTTCTAGATTATCATTTGACTCTCTTCTTCACAGGCAAGGACACATCACAGGTTGAACCATGGCTTTGATGGTGGTCAAGTTTGATCTGAAGAAGCGAGTGAAGCTTGCCCAGACGGTCTGGTTCATGTACTGGTTCGCTGTAATGGCTGGCGTGCTGGTTTTCAGCATGGGCCTGTTCTTTAAGATCGAGCTGCGAAAGCGCTCAGAACTTATGGACAACAATGAGAGCCACTTCTTGCCCAACCTGCTTATATTTATGGGTCTAATAGCCTGTGGGATCAACGCCTTTGGGGGCAAAGTCTGTTACGATTCGTTGGACCCTACCAAGTTTGTAAAGTGGAAGTCTTTGTTGAAGACCTTCTTGGTGGTCTGCATGGTGTTTAACGCGCTGCTGCTTGTGACGGCCCTACTGTGTTTCCTGATGAGAATCCCTCTGCAGTTCACCCTGTCTGAGGGGCTGAGGAACGGCATGAAGTACTACAAGGACACAGATACACCGGGGCGCTGCTACATGAAGAGGACCCTGGACCTGATGCAGATGGAGTTTCGTTGCTGCGGAAATGACAACTACAGAGATTGGTTTGAGATCCAGTGGGTTAGCAACCGCTACCTGGACTTCAGCTCAAAGGAAGTCAAAGAGTAAGTGACGAGGATTAACAACTAAATCCCTCGTGATAGCCTTTAAAAGTTAGAGATCATTGCTGTATGATGTGACAGGGCGATGACTTTTTAGCTCAAAGAGATTGTCATTGAACCTGAGTGCATCAAGGTGGAGGCTGGTGCTTTGGGGGCTGTTAGACTTCATTAAAATTGGATTTGAAGTGCAGGAGCAGGTGTATTATTCACTTTCATCCACTAAGGATTACTATTACAGAAATGGTGACAGCAATAGGTCGGGGGCTGTGAGGGCAGAAGAGGTCACTAGGCAGTTTAATGGATAAAGTTGGGAGGAGGTGATTACGTACAGAAAAAGAGAAGATCAAAATGGCACGAGAGGGATTAAAAGTACATTGTTCCAATCCAGTGTTTTGTGGTCTCTTTGTGAGAACTTGTTTATATCTACACTGATTTGGGGTAACAAGTACCAGTTAGCATTGTGAGGACAATTTTAAATAGGACAGTTTTGCTTGCTGGCACACAATTAGTGTTTAAGCTCAAGGATTACAGTGTCCATGTCCTTCAAGAATCAGTGTCCTCTCCAATCAGCAGAGGACCTGGCAACACTCCAGGGACAGCACTACGCAACAAAAAAATTTGTAGCTGCGATTTTAAAATCAACATAAACACTGGCTTCACATTAATACTGGACAGTAAAGTAGGGAGGTGATTGGAAAACTCTAGTAATGCCATAACAGGCCTACAACAGCAATCATGGAAAAGGGCCCTATAAATGTCTCATTTCAAAGTTTCAAAGATTTACACGCCCTCAAGACTTTACTTATAACCCAAGTTTTCCAAATACTTACTTAAATATCTTTACAGTTCCGTACAGCCATCTTTATAACTGATAATGCCTTGATTAGTATTCAGAAGGTTTCTATTTTCTGTATTTCCTGTATGTCCTGCAGTATTGACAAAAGTGTAATCTGGACATTATTTTGGGCTTGATTAGGTGTTGGTGTGTCTGGAAAGCACTGGTCCATATCTGACCTTCTCCAGTCTTAATGATCCAATCATATGTGTCTTTCCACTGACCTACTACTATCAATCACAGTGGAGATCTGCTCTCCAGACTGAACACTGACACAAATATACTAATTTGGGTGCGTGCACATTACCATGTTATTAACCTAAAAACACATATTTACATTTTAAGATATTTGGGTCAAGTATTTAAGTAAAATATGATTTCACATTTCTTGTACTTGTGTGAAGTGTAGGCCTGATTAATAGAAATGTTATTAATACGCACGTTTTGCTACAGTACTCTGCAAACTAATTTACACAACATACTATAAGAGTTGATGATGAGAGGTTCTTAACTGATTATTGTACACCAGTGACAGTGTTGCCTTACAGGTGGTAAATGCAACATAAAAAGAATAATATAGCATGAACACAGCAAAAGCAATGCAAACCACTTCATCAGCATGCTAAAATGTTTGAGTTATGCTTTGCATTTGTTAGAGAGTTATTGATTCAACACTGTTCATTGTTGAGGCAGGAATGGGTGGTGTTGTATTGAGTATAATATTGTGAGGTACAACACCACTAACTATGGTCTCAAAAATACTCTGTAACAATAAACATCACACCTTCTAGTTATTTTGGTATAAGACCAGCAGCTAATTTTAGCCCACACATAGTACAAGCATAGTATGGCAGGTTCCTGACCTTTAATCTTGCCTCACTTTCACCTCCAGCCCATCATAACGTGACACTAACATGACACTGTCTCATCCTCTTAGCCGCATTGGGAGCAACGTGGATGGCCAGTATCTAATGGATGGAGTCCCATTCAGCTGCTGCAACCCCAGCTCCCCCAGACCCTGCATCCAGTTCCAGATGACCAACAACTCTGCCCACTACAGCTACGACCACTACACAGAGGAGCTCAATGTGTGGAAGCCCGGCTGCCGTGAAGCCCTGCTGTCCTACTATGGAGGCCTGATGAACACCATTGGAGCCATGGTGGTGCTGGTCACTATGCTGGAGGTCAGGGCCAGCGATGCATCAACACAAATATTCATTTTCCACCTCATTTCAAACTAAGTCCACCATGTTAATTTTAACTAGTTGCACCATCACTTCCACTGCATAGGAGACAATCCCACTGCACTTTCATGAAGGTAGGGAAGTCTTTTATCTTATAAAAATTAAAATGACAGTTTGAAAACACTTCTGATAAAGCAGACCCATTTGTGTCAGTTGTCCAAGTACGTTTTCCAACATAAAGATCAGAAGTGATCTCTATCAGAAGTGTTTTCAAAATGTCATTTTAGTTTTTACAATAGAAAATACTTTAAGGATGAAGACTAACTGGTTGGTTTGGCAAATGTATGTGCCAAACCAATCATCAGGGATCCATCCCAAACAGGGCTAACCATTACTTTACTATGATGTGTGACATTTAAAGGGTATGACATAAGATATATAGTACAATACTCTGATTTGAATAATGTTTTTTTCTGATGTGTTTTATGTTTTTTTTGCATAAAAAAGTCAGTTACCTTTTTAAACAATTTTAAAATGACCAGAATACATAAGTATGCAAATATTAATAACATACACATACATGCTTAACCAGGCAATTCAGACTAATTCAATGCAAATGCATATTAGTCTAGAACCTCTCAGTTCATTTTCGTGTTATCATTGGACACAGACCAAATTGCCTCTGGAAACAATTGGATAGACTTAAATCCAATCTGAGCACAAAACACGTGACGTACCGTCAAGCAACACATTCAAGTTGGCAGCCTGGTCACAAACTTCCTCAAATTACAGCTAAACTGTACATGTGTTTCTGAAAAGATTTGAGGTAGACAATGCAATTATTTGATCAGCAATTCCTAATTTGACAGTTTGAGCCTGGTGCATTGTGCTGGATGGGCCTGCAGGCTGGAGCAGGTCCAGACCTACAACCAACAACCAATGACTTTTCAAATTGGCCCTGTGAGTCATTGTATCAGACCTGCCCCTTATGAGTTGTGATTGGCCTGACCAGATCCAGGACGGATGGAAATCTGTCTGGATGGGAAAGAGGGCCAGACGTCTGCCAGAGCAAATGAAACATGAGTTTGGCAGATTCGTCTGGTTTCTAGCCTAACACATGCTGAGTACTTCACTGAAAAGTCAATTATCAGCGCATATGTGCCAGAGGTTACTAGTTTCCTCATCATCATTGCATCTTGGACCACGAGTTGCTTCCACACCAGTTGTGTCACAAAAACATCTGGTACGAACAAGTCTTAAACTCCGATTTAATGTGAGCAAAGAGAAACTTTCCTCCTTCAGCAGCCTTCTAGTGTCAAAATCTGCACATATAACTCTCCCCGGAGCCTCCACTGCCAACATATGTTATTGTTGTTGTCGAGGCCCAGTAATCTGCCCGCCATTAAAGGGAACAGTGGCAAACATGTACAGATAAATCCTTGAAGTCATTAATAGCAGTGATGATGAGAACATGGCACCATTTAGATAACATCTCTGTGCCAGAAATCCAGCAGACAAAACCATGCTCTAAAAGCTTGGATTTAGTGCGATACCCTGGAAGCTGATCGGACAGACAGTCGGAGGAATCCCAGATTTAGGAGTAGTTATGCAAGCGTCTCTTTGCTGACACAGATAGTGGGCTCAGAGATGGAGTCATGGGTTAATCTAAGGGAGGTGACAAGACCCACTTCCTGCAGACTGAGCTCTCAATCTGATCTGAAGTCACCAGTCTTAAATTACTTCTTAACATTTCTAATGATAGAGTAGATTACTTCAAGAATTCTAAAACAGATATTATCTTTTTTTGTACGTTTTTATTTTTGTCTTTGTTTTCCTCACACGTTTCCCTTTTTACACTCACACACCACACTTCCATTACTCACTTTCACACATGCACGGCAACAT